CAACTTATTGATCGACATTCAGCACTACAAACGTCGCATAAGGAAGATTCCGACCGCATTCCATTCACTCTCACGTTTCACCCTCACAACCACTCAGTTAAATCCATCATTCTTAAAAACTTTAAATTACTTCAAAACGATCCAGAGACAAGCACTATCTTTTCGCAGCCTCCGCTCATTTCATTCAAACGCGACAAAAACATAGGCAATTTTTTGGTCAGAAGTTCTTTTCAGACTAATGACCAACCAGGCACTTTTAAATGCGCTCGTGCACGATGCAAAACGTGTCCTTTCATTCACAACACTGAGAAAATATCGGGACCCAAACGATCCATTAAGATCACCGATCACTTCACGTGCACCTCCGCCAATGTAATCTATTGCATAACTTGCACTTATTGCAAAAAGATTTACATCGGCGAAACAGGCAGAAGACTAGGTGACCGATTCCGAGAACACCTTCGCGACGTGGAGAGGAATGACAAGGACACATCGAAACCAGTCGCTAGACATTTTAATTTACCTAATCATTCTAAGCAACATATGGCAATCTGCGGTCTTTCCTTACACTTAGGTAGCACGGAAAGCCGTAAAACTCTTGAACAAAAGCTCATCTTTCAAACCGGCAGTCTAAATCCCACAGGTATCAACGAACGCTTTTCATTCCACTACTTTATTCGTGTTTTTCTCGTTGCCACGTTCCCACCAATAACGTAGCTCCATTTTTTGCCTTTAAAAGCACACACAACCCACAATTCCTCTATTCGCCCCGACGAAGGGCTAACGCTCGAAACGTCAGCTTTTATAATCGTAACGGTGGCCAATTTACCATTTCAACTTTGTCGATATATTCAAATCAATCCAGTCCATGTTTTACAATATGCCGAAAAGAAATAATGGTGCGTAATCTGGAATCGATCTATTGTTTGTCATTACTTTCTCTTGTTTTATTTTGTCGTTTTTGTGCTCTTTTTGCAATGAAACATGTAAAAGCATAAAATCTCTTTAATCAAGTGTTTCTCGTCTTTTTGGTCGAAACCCCGATATCTCGAAGCAAATTCATTTCCCTTTGACAATTCGAGTTACCAGGGTGCAACTGAAGTAGTTTTAACATTGAATTTTCAATGAATCTATCATGAACGCAACACATCTATCGCTACTGCCCGATGAAGGTATTTGAGTCAAGTACCTGAAATCGTGGCCCTTGAGGCTCCTAAACCGCTCGTGTTCCTGATCTTGTATTGGAACCTTATTCTTCTCCAGGAGCCAGCCCTCGTTCTCAAAAGGTCCCGGATAAAATCCCGAGTTCCCTTCTTCCTTGTGGTCCCTTACAATGGGAACTAACTTCCCAGTTTTCCTCGCGGGAGTATCCACACTAGGATTCATAACCACAGCTAATGGTGGAATCTCCTCCAAAGTGAGTCCTTCTCTAGAAAGCGAGAATTTTTGTGGGTTATTTTTTAAAAGTCCTTCTAATTTTGCGAGTTGGTTCGAAGCTTTAGCGCCTTTATCTCTGAGTTCTGTCTCTGGTAGACAACGATGCATACGAAATATTGTATCGTCCACAACAATTTTGTTTCTCCATTGGCGCGCGGTCTCCATGGCAGCATCGTCTTGTTCTTGTTCTTTGGTGTCGCCGGCGGTGTGAACTGACAAACATGGATTTTTGTCGAAAAACGGAGGAGGATGGGGTAGTAAATTTACATCAGCATCTCGATAATCCCAGGGGAAGTTTTCCCTGATTAAGAAAGAACACAAAAGTTAAATTGCTAGAGAAGACCAAAATAGAAATTTGGTAACGTTTGTAACTCTAAGGCTCCGTTCAAAGTGATTCTAACTTTTAGGTCTGTGGAATTAACCCTAGCGTGTGACCATCAACCAAAAAGCTACGAAACAGTACAAGTCGTTGGACAAACTTACCTATCTACCGTTGGTTTCAGAATGTTGGCGTGTAAAATGTTCTCTTTCCATGGCTAGAATGGTAATAATAATAAAAGAAACATTACGCGAAGGATATCTGATGTCTCCCCTTAATGGAAGAGACAGGGTGAGAAAGATCAATGAGTCACATCGTAAAGAGTTATCTCAACGAGCCAGTCAACGACAAAGGTGAATTTATCACTTAGCCTTTGAAATAGTCACGTGACATGGAGAATTTGTTTATCAAGGGCTTCTACTTTGAGCGATCATTTCCTTTATTCCTGTGAACTCAATACTTGATTTAGCAGTGATGCCGTGGGTTAAATAAGAAGCTGGCAACTCCAAGTGGTCAAGGATGAAATTACCATGAAAACGCCCAAAGGGTTAGTCAGCGCGTGGAATTTACAGGGTTTTACACACATACAACTATTGCAAAACCCTTCGAGGAAAGATCATAAATACGAATAAGGTTCGTCCTTGTGTGTTTCCATACCTTGCGAAGTTCGTCTACTCGGGCCGAGTCGGGCTTCTTAGGGTGAATATTTGATACCAATGAGGTCTTTTTTCCAGGGAATATAAATCCGTTTTCTGTTCTCCACAGTTTCTTAGAAGAAAGAAGATCTTGCTTCTTGACTGTTTCTGGATGAATGGGAAGAACTGTGGCCGAGTTGTACTCTGGGCAGTAGGTAAAACGGCGATCTCTTTCCTTTGAGAAAGGGAAAAAAATTGATAAGTCAATAGACACTCGATTGTTCAGGCTCATCTATTGAATTAAGAAATGACAAGTCAAAACGAATTTAACACAGGAAGAAACACGTTTAAGTTATAACGGAAACGCGTTTAAGACACGGTGGAAACGCGTTTAAGTTGCAGTGAAAACGCGTTCATGACAAAATGGAAACGCATTTAAAACGCGTTAAAACAAGATTAATAGGTAGAGTTTGATTTGCCTGGGACTTATGCAAGAGTTCATGTCTTCCTTCCCATTGTTCTCACACACACGCACACAACTCGGTTCTATAATTATCAAAATGCACAGTACTTTTTATTATTTTGCACATGTTTCAGAATGTCAGTTCATATTACACGGACGAACTGGAGAATTGGTTTTTCGTGTGAAGTGCAAACTGTTAAGTGTGTACTGAGAAGTGAGAGGTGTCAAATGTGAAGTCTGAGATGTGAAGCGAAGTGGGAATTCTGAAATGTGAAATATGTGGTGTACAGCGGAAAATGGAAGAAAGTGATAGCTTTAAAAATATCGTTCAAGCACTAATTCATTTTCAAAAATCGTTAACTGACAAGAAGAAAAAAAAAAACAGGGGTAATAAAAAACAAATCAAATACCTTTTCAAGTGCGTGTCTTAGCTTTTCTTTAGCCAGTTCTGTAGAATTCAAGGTCTGTATACTGTAGTTGTGTGCGGTTTCCTGATGCAGCTCAGTCATATCCACGGCGATGGTCTGCGGTCTTCTTTTTGGTTCTTTTGCCTGTGTTTTCAGCTAAAATAAATGTATTAAACAGCAGTTAAAGTAAATTTTAACTGAGTGTCGAAAATAATCCGGGACTGCACTAGTTTTGCTTTACTTCGCTCTGTGATTGGTCCAAAAAAACTCGCTGCTTTAGGCAGTTAAGTTGTTCTTACTTTGAGCTCTGATTGACCCCAAAAGATATTTTCCTTTCTACTGATTAGTGGTTGTGATTACTTTGGTTTTGGTTTTAAGACGCTTAATCGAAAAGCACTCTAAAATCACGGGTTATTTGCGAAAATTCAAAATGACGCCATTTGGTAAATATCATAAAAGCCAGAAATTTTCATTTCAGAAAAATATTTCACAGTGACTTAAATTGACTTACTATGTTCTCACTGATGAAGTCGTGTTTTACCAGAGTTCTTCCTCTTTCTTTAACCAGCGCAACGTAATCTGAATTGTAAAGTGACAGGGGCGTCCATGGTCGAGTAGTCCTGGGTCTAGGTTCCTCCAGAAGTTTACCTGAAGCAGCCTCCTCAATTTGAGATCCACTACTGGATTCAAGGTCTAACAGTAGAGGTTGGAGAGAAATTAATTTTCACTGCAGAAATCCGTTCAAAAGGATCTCCCTTGATATTGAAATCAGAGACAGTTATAAAAAGTAGAGAAGTGACCGCATAAGGGCTCTGATACCTTTAATTAAGATTAGAGAAAGTATCATATTAGAAAAAGCGTGACGTTGAGGTAACACAACTTGGCATCAAAGAAACGGAGCGTGACATCATTATTGCACGTCACAGGAGACTAGAGAACGTCCCACAACTTTCAAGCAAGTGTAGCTTGAAACAAGAAAATTTTCCAAGTGGAAAGGAGATTTTGATATCCTTGAGGCCACAAGAATACACTGAAAGGCAGTCGTGTAATCCAAGAAGAAATAGGCATAAGGGTAGAAGAGAGAAGATGTGGAAAATTGAAGAGTAAAGAAGAGTGAGTGAGTTTCATCGAAACAAGAAAGTGCAATTCCCTAGTTAGTGAAGGTGATGAGGAAAACAAGTAAAACAGGATACAATGAGCCAGAATACACATGGGTCTTCGCTGCGCGCGCAACGAGCTCCGCGATTATTACGATCAGAAAGACGAAAGACGAAAGGGCCGCAAACAAGGAGAAAGACCTTAATTTCGAATATTAATTAGCAGCTAAAGACAGGGAGTTTCTTTGGGGGTGGGCGTGCTTTTCATCAGTGATCGGAGAAAGGAGTGGGTGGGGTATTACCGCATGCAATGATCATAGTGACCTGGTGACTAACGTACAACGTACCTCCAAAATCTTCTGCGGTCAGTGGAACTCCAAATTCGCGGCTCATAGATACGATCATGTCAGCGGATGGGAACAAATCATTTCGACACACTTCGCGGAGTTTTGAGAGCTTCAACACCTACGAAAATTAAAGCAGAAAAAGGGGTCTTTGAAAACAACCATTAAATCAGTGATCGGCCAGTTTTCTGCTCTGAAACTCTGAAGGGCCTTAACACCTAAATACCTATGGAATGCTGCATTTCTAGGAAAGGGCGAAAGGACTTCATATAACTAAAAGATTTACCCACTGAGTTCGATATAACGAAGATGGTAAGTGACTGTTCGAAGAAGAAGAGTGGGGCGAGAAGGCTGAATATGGTCGCGAAAAACTGGGAACTTCTTGCTCAGTACCACTTTTAGTTTTTGTTTAATCATTTTATCCCCTGTTTTGCAGTTCGCGCACGACTGACTAGGAATCATTTTCTGCATGTTGTCAAAGGTCTCTAAGTCAAACAAAGATTTCAACAACCAACCTGATCAAGTTTTGCCAGCGCATCAAAACAAGGTTTGGGTACTAGGTCCCTAACATATAGCAAAGGATTCTGGACTATGACTTCCAGAGGCTCGTGAAGTCTAACTCGGCACAAATCTACATCGAGCGCTGCATACAGCCGCTCATGGAACCTCAGGTCGGAGTTGTAGAGAACGTTGAATTTTGTGATATCTGAAGGAAAACAATTTATAGAGCGTAAGTAAGGTTCAAACGCCAGCGGGTAGTACAGTGCCTTGAATCTGTGAAGCTTGGTTAAGTTGAATGCTGAACACAAACCCTTCACTACCATAAGTGACCGAGAAAGAATTTCTCCCATCAATATCAAGCAGACAAGTGAGGAGAATAATAAAAAATAATAATAATAATAAACTAAGGGATTATCAGTTGTTCCAGAACCAAATTCTCAAAACTAACATCCTAAGAATTCTATGGTAGACAGTTAGGAGAATTACTAATGAGATCTTAATAAAGGAAGGTTAAGGCATGTAGTATATCTATCTTATTAACCAAGCGCGAGGGCCGTACTGGGAGAATATCGGCCCGAGATCTTGACAGTACGGACCGAGCGTAGCGAGGTCCGTACAAAAAAGACCGAGGGCCGATATTCTTCCAGTACGGTCCCGAGCAAGCTTGGTTAATAAGAGATTTATTATACGACTGAAGTTCAAAGGACGCAAGTGCGGTATCATTCGGTACAGTGTCCGGTCCAATTCTGAGAGAATATTGACCGGCAATAGAGCATTTTGATTGGTTGATTTTAGTTATTCGCCCTCTGACTGCGCGAGTCGTGTAATAATATCTTAATTACCTTCCTCTTGTGGTCTGGGAAGTTCTTCCCAAAGTCGTCTAACTCCTTTTTCTGCCAGGCCTTCCAACACAAACAAATGATACTGGCCGTCTAGAACCTGTGAAACAAATGGCAGGGGAAAATGAAGTTACGTTCTTCTCTACAGTGCATGTAAGAAAAGATATGCAAAACTGTCCCAAATTAAAAGAGAGCATCTTCAAATTGTTTAGAGAGGATTTCGATCGGGCACCGTAAAACCAAAACCAGAACTATCGCAACAGCAAATTAGAACAGAGAAAAATCTAACAAGAAACAATTGAGAACATAGGGAGAAACGAAAGCGCGGGAAAACGTGGGGCGAAACCAAAGCAGTTGTTAATTACTTACACTCAATTGATTACGACACTCAATTAAACATTGTTCTGATAGTCAATTCTTTCCAAACCATTGTTGACTTCATTTTGGGCTGTTGAATTGAACAACAAAAAATTCAGACTCACCTGAAATCCCGTGATAATATCCAGTTTCTTATTCGTTCGTTGTTCTCTGAAAAGAAGATATGAAAAGAAACATCTTGCACACCGATTCGACTAAACATTAATAAACAAGAAAGCTCTGATTCACGACACAAGGTACACCAAAAAAGGCTTAAAATCTTATTTTTCGAATCAACTTGCGTGCGCCAATGAGGGATGACAGTATCCCTTTATTCAATAAAGAAAAGCAACTAACTTTGATAATTTCTCTGAAAACTTACTTGGACAACTTGTATGTTGAGAGAGCAGCCTCGATCACATGCTGTGGTAGAGCAGCTAGTTCCAGTGCTTCCGCATTCACAGCTGTAATCTCAGATTGAAGTTGACGGAGGAAAGGAGCATTCTTGTATTCGAAAATATAGATAACACGACCGTATGGGCACTGGGGAAAGATAAGAGGAACGTTGTTATTTGGCATTTTACATTGGTAATGGTTGTTAGCTAAGGGAAATATAGATAACACGACCGTATGGGCACTGAGGAAAGATAAAAGGAACGTTATTTGGCATTTTACATTGGTAATGGTTGTTAGCTAAGGGAAATATGGATAACACGACACCGTATGGGCACTGAGAAAAGATAAATGGAACGTTGTTATTTAGCATTTTACATTGGTAATGGTTTTTAGCTAAGGGAAACGAGTTCTATTCATCTTCCCTAATGCAATACAAGCTTTCTGGTGGTACAAACTGTACAAATTATCGTCACCATATTTTCAGACTTAGGTTAAGTATTCATCTGTTTTTCAATTTTATCCTGAGCGCTGACGAGAAAATAAGAAACCTGCAAACGCTCAAGTAAAAGAACTCGTTGAGTTATCAAAGGGAAAAATAGATCCCTGAAGGAAATCATTTCCACGGAATTTTCTCTCTATATCCTCTTACCATTTCCTCTTCAGTAGATTCTTCAGTTTTTTTCTCTTCTTCAGTGGCATTCAAGGGGTAAACCAGGTTGACCTTAATCTTCAGTTCGCTACCAGCCTCCAGATAGTTAGCCACGGGCATAGGTTTGTCCTCTGAAAGATAATCAGATTCCACAACAGATACAGATATAAAAGACTGCAGTCAGACTTACTCGAATAGTGGGCGGAGCCTAACCCAGTTTCTCAAAAAATGAGGCAACAACGCCTTTGTTACACCTTCCCACAATGGGATAATACTCCGTATTATCCGGTAACTCTCAAGGATAACCAAGGGACTATTAAGACCCTGCCGGTCCTAATTCCTGATTTCAGAGCAAGAATAGACTACGTAATGGGATGCGAGTTCATCGAACGTGACTCCCTCTTCCACTTAATTTCTTCAATTCTCCTGCAAGTTTGCCGAAGCTCATTCATACCCCTGGATAAAGAAAGGCATCGTGAGAGTTGGTCTCCCCATGAAAACAACACAAAGACCCAGCCAGACCGAGACCTCTCGATTCCGAATACAGCGAACTTACTGTCTTAATCTATCATTTACACAGTATCAAACCTGGTGCGTCCACATTTCCCGGCTGGCCCAATATAGGTCCGTCTGGTTTCTGAAACCCTGAGTGAGTATCCGGCAAAGGACAGCAATGGATGGGTGACCTTAAGTAAAGATACTTCTGACCGAGTAACAACCCTGACAGATCAAACTTGGCAATGCCGTACGGGTCCCATGGCTTACTACGGCTTGTGAACGGGTTGTGAGTGGTTCGACGACCTGAAATCAAAGAACAGTTATATGATAAGTACGGGGCTCCGCTGCGCGTGCTGCAGACTCCGCTATCAAATATTAAAGTCTACTTAAGTTTGAACTAAAATCTCCCGTCTAGTTCCCCACGTGGAATTTATCGTTTCTCGCGATACACTTCTTGTTTTTCTCGAGAGGCGTTGGGTTTGTCGCATGACGTTTCTTGTTATTCGCGTTTCTAGTCAACGTACCATGTTTTAGGCGGAATGATTGTTGTATCTCGCTAGACGTTTCTCATTTTGAGAAGAAGATTCTTGTTTCTCGCCAAACGTTTCTCAATAGATGTTTTTCGCCTTTCGCGAGACACCTCCGATTCTCTTATGCGTGTTGTATAACGAGTGTTGTATAATGTGTTTTGTCTAAAGCGTGTTGTGCAAGGCCAGTTTCTAACTGTGTTAAGCGGGTTGCGATTCTTAAACAAGAAAGAAGGAGTCTCCTCTTCGTGTACTTAGTTGCCAAGCCTTTGATTCAGAGTGAGGCTGAAGGTGACCTTGTTGTGATAGAGACCTGTATCTAGTTAGCATGATAACAAAGTGATTTACATTTGAAAGGCAGCGAGGTTTGTATCATAACAAGGTCACCCCTAGCCTCACTCCCGTTCAAAGGCTTGGCAACCAAGCACACAACTGTAAAAAGGACCATTATCATACCTGCCACCAAACTAACATTATTGATCATCTCATCCTCTGGGTTCTCACCAAACAAACTGGGCTTAGGTTTCTTATGTTCGATTTTACGGTCCCTGTCGTGGACCTCAATTTGGAAATGGGGCCCTTGAAGGTACTCTGCGAGACCACTTTTGTCTAATGTCCCAAGAAGGACCACATTCACATCTTCCCAGAAGACCTCACTCCCATGTTCCCTTCCAACGCTCTCGTGTACGGGCTGTTTGTAGAACTGGTAAGAAACATGCACTGGTTTGCATCTGTAAATAAAACGTGAATAATGGATCAAAATGATGCAAAACTAGCACTTTTTGAAGACCGCCTCCCGGTTAGCTCAATGGATAGAGCGCTGGACTGTTGCGCGGGAGGTCGAAGGTTCGAGCCCCNGTGGGATGGGTGGGTTTACAGAGGGCCATGTGTTAGAAAACTCTTTACTGGGTTAATCATGTATTTACCCTCTTGAAATAAAGAACATTGTATTGTATTGTATTGTACCTTTCCTTGGGGGACGCAATATATAGCTTTGTGCCAAAAACATACTAAGAATTTTTCTCTATTTTATTCGCAGTCCGAGAGGAATTCTAAGTTGCCGAGACGTTTAAAAACGTCCCCGCAACACAGAATTCCTCTCCGACTCGTACCAGTCTTTATCCACCAACTAAATTTTACAACCACACTCACTTTGCCCTGAGCTGCATATACGTCATGGGTTTACAAGGCAGTTCACTTGCCGATGACACCCTTATCACCATAGGGTTGAGCTCTCCCTTCTGAACTTCGGACAGAAGATCACTGTCAAGTGACACAGACAACAGTAACTCCTCTACACCGCCCGCAGGCTTGCCCAGTTTTGTCGTAATCGATTTTGCACCAGAGAAAAAAGCGTACATCTTTACCGAAAGGGAGGCAGGTCCATGAGCTTTGGTGTGTGTTGCAGCTAGGGCAAGTTCTTTCTTGGAAGTGCTGGCCTTTGGAATCGATGATTTCTTTTCTGTTGAGAAGCAAAACATTTGAACCACTGCTGAGGTTTCAATAACTTTTTCGATAAGTGGTGGCCGATAGTGTAATAGAAGGACAATGGCGACGAAAATGTCGATTAAAACAAGAATTTAACTTGACAGGAAGAAGTTTGCGAATGGCTGGATTCGTTTACTGTCTCTAACGCCACAGTTTTAAAACGCACGTGCAAAGCTATTACTCTTGCCAATAAGATACTTTGTTTTGCCAAGTCCCCACTGCCGTTGCCGTCGTGGTTTGCTTAAGGTCCCTCATAAGCGGCTGAGCCTAGAGAAAATGCCACTGGACGAAACCCAAACACGAAAGCCCGAACTTAGGCAGAACAAACGACGGTAAGAGGTCTTACAGGCGGCAGGCTAAGTCAAAGTCGTAATTATAAATGACTTTCACATCATTGGTTCAGTGAATGACTGGCCGGCTGCAGGATGTGTTCTGCAACGCAGTAATTCAATGGTTCTAGCTTGATCAGTTCTTTGAGTAAGATACTAACTAAAAGGCACTTTTCGATTGGGTGTCATAAATCCAAATCCAATGTAGTCAAAACGGCCAATCAGAGGAAAGAAAAATACCTTTAAGAGCCAATTTTTCAAAGTTTGATTCTTTCAGTTTTTACATATGCTATTGAGGTCTGGGGGTGTGCTTTTTATGGTAAATATTTAAGTAGAATTGATAAGCTCTTTGCCAGGTGTTATAAGCTGGGTTACTGCTTAAAGCAACACAGTATTTTGGATATCCGTTGTAATAGAGATAAGAAATTATGGCAAGGAATCTCTTCCACCAACACTGCGTTGAGCGATCTCTTACCTCCCCACAGAACACGTTAGCTCCGACGAAGGGCTAACGCTCGAAACGTCAGCTTTTGTAATCATTACGGTGGCCAATTTACCATTTCAACTTTGTTGATATATCCAAATTATTTCGTTACTCCCACCGACGCAGCCCCAAACAGTTTCTTTCGAAACTATCAGCCTTTATTCAGTTGAGAACTAGGTCGCATAATTATATTTTGCCTAAGGTTCAGACAAGCCGTTTTAAATCAGTTTTTATTAATAGATGTCTTTTCAATAGTAATTAATACCTTTTCTTTTTCCTTATTCATTCTATTCATGTTAATTGTTGCACGTCTGTTTGCACAATAATTCTTAATAAAGACCTTTATTATTATTATTATTATTATTATTATTATTATTATTATTATTATTATTATTATTATTTATAGTGCTTTACTGCGAAGGATCGTTCTCATATACGTCTCATAACCGCAGTTCACACATATGTTTCATATGTTTGTTGTTGTTTGATTTATCATCTACGGGTTTATATCGAATTAATTTGATGGCCTGCTCCCAGTTGGCTTGTTAGCTCAATTGGTAGAGCGCTGCACTAGTATCGCAGAGGTCAGTGGTTCGAATCCCGTACAGGCCTGAAATTTTTTTCAGGTCTGATTTTCACTATTGCTCAAATAGTGCTTTACTGCGAAGGATCGTTCTCATATACGTCTCATAACCGCAGTTCACACATATGTTTCATATGTTTGTTGTTGTTTGATTTATCATCTACGGGTTTATATCGAATTAATTTGATGGCCTGCTCCCAGTTGGCTTGTTAGCTCAATTGGTAGAGCGCTGCACTAGTATCGCAGAGGTCAGTGGTTCGAATCCCGTACAGGCCTGAAATTTTTTTCAGGTCTGATTTTCACTATTGCTCAAATAGTGCTTTACTGCGAAGGATCGTTCTCATATACGTCTCATAACCGCAGTTCACACATATGTTTCATATGTTTGTTGTTGTTTGATTTATCATCTACGGGTTTATATCGAATTAATTTGATGGCCTGCTCCCAGTTGGCTTGTTAGCTCAATTGGTAGAGCGCTGCACTAGTATCGCAGAGGTCAGTGGTTCGAATCCCGTACAGGCCTGAAATTTTTTTCAGGTCTGATTTTCACTATTGCTCAAATAGTGCTTTACTGCGAAGGATCGTTCTCATATACGTCTCATAACCGCAGTTCACACATATGTTTCATATGTTTGTTGTTGTTTGATTTATCATCTACGGGTTTATATCGAATTAATTTGATGGCCTGCTCCCAGTTGGCTTGTTAGCTCAATTGGTAGAGCGCTGCACTAGTATCGCAGAGGTCAGTGGTTCGAATCCCGTACAGGCCTGAAATTTTTTTCAGGTCTGATTTTCACTATTGCTCAAATAGTGCTTTACTGCGAAGGATCGTTCTCATATACGTCTCATAACCGCAGTTCACACATATGTTTCATATGTTTGTTGTTGTTTGATTTATCATCTACGGGTTTATATCGAATTAATTTGATGGCCTGCTCCCAGTTGGCTTGTTAGCTCAATTGGTAGAGCGCTGCACTAGTATCGCAGAGGTCAGTGGTTCGAATCCCGTACAGGCCTGAAATTTTTTTCAGGTCTGATTTTCACTATTGCTCAAATAGTGCTTTACTGCGAAGGATCGTTCTCATATACATAAATTGATAATGTAAATTGACCACCGTAAAGAGCTTCAAAGCTGCCGTTTCGAGCGTTAGCCCTTCGTCAGAGCGTAAGGTCCAAGATCACTATCGACACTCATTTGAAAACTGCTCTAAGATAAAAGAAAATAGTGTAATCCTACTAGGAGATGAGAACCTTCTTTCTTACTTATCCCTTCCGGTTTTGGGCTGGATCCCTCTTTCGTCAACATCCCTTCCAATTTTGAACTGGATCTCTCTTTCTTGGACTGCGATCGTATTTGCCTCTGTCCTGACTGTTGAATTTCACGATCTGTCATTGGTGGAGTAACACCAGCCAAAGTTGCAAGGCGACTGAACTGTGGGGTGTCCTGTTCGTCCACCCGCACTTGAACTTTAACTCTGCTAGAGGTAACGGCAGCTGTTGATGAACTTGTTGTATAAGATATTGAACGAAATGTCTGTGGACAAGAAACGAAATGTTCCAGTCGTCGAGATTTTAAAAACTGTGTGAAAAATGCTCATGGAGACTAAATGGAGGTCAAAGTGGAAGTTAAAAACGCAAAATGTTGAACAGCATATTTAAAATCACATATGTCTGCAATTTGAGAGCCAAAACTTGTGCATGCACATTCAAGGAGAAATGCTCATTCCAAATACCATTATTTTGAAACAGTGTTTGAAAACATAGCTGACAACCACATACAGTGTACATCTAACAGCTGTAATATAAAACTCTCTTGAACTTTGTATAGCCTCGTAGGGCTGGTTATTTACGCGAGGTCTAACCCAAACTGCGGTTTTACACAAGCTGTGGGCCTTAGGAATTCTCTATAACAGGGTTGATTTAATTTAAAAAATGTCTTTTTACTGTTAGCTTTCAGCCCTCATGATACTGTTTACAAAAATAAATGTTCAGATTAAAGAATCCGCTATACAACGCAGTTTTGTTAAACAACGGCTAACCTTTTTGTAAATAACTAGCCCTTACTGCCTCGATTGTGTTTCTCTTCTCTGCTTTAACCCCTGACATGACCATATGAGTAAGTTGGAAAACCTTTTGGGGTATTCTTTCCCTCACACCCCCTAAAGTTAAAGAAGTGGGGCCAACTTCTAGAATAAACACTGCCTTGAAGTAACCATTGGCTGTAGATGAAAATTAACCCCATCTAGGGATAGGGAAATAATAAATCCCTATCCTGATATGGGACAGAGCAACAAAAACCACAGGGATTATCATCAACTGTAAAAAGTTGTAAGTTGTATCAACTGTAAAGTTGTATCAACTGTTGTATCAACAGTTGTATCAACTGTAAAGTTCAAAGTTCAAGTAAATGAAGTACTTTCTGAGAGCAGAAAATCTTCCTCTGACTGGATAGTGACCACTTTTGAGGATAATTTCACAGGACTTCACGATATGGACCCTTTCCTCTCGAGAACAAACTTACCGATGGTGCAGTGATGGCTCTATTGTCCAGAATGGACCCTGTGCCTAACATGCCAAAAACATGGCCTTGAGATGTGTTAGGATACCTCTTGGCCTCTTTGTCATCATCTTAAATGATTATAAAAAATCAAGATTAGACATTAAAATAAACTTCTATTGTTATCCCAGTGCAAGGTTATACCAAACATGAACACCAATGGGGAGGAGGGGGGGGACACTTATAGTATCCTATTTCATGTACATGCAAATAAAAGGGAAAACTTTAAATCTTTCTTCTTGTTCAAGGAAATTTTGATGTTTTCATAAACTGAGAGAAAAAAAAAATAGTCGTTATCCCAGCGCAAGGTTTGACCAAACATGATCCATAATATGCACTGGGTGGGTGACAAAGAAGGGAAACGGGGGGTCCTTATCATGTTTTACCCACAGGTACATGAAAGGGAAAACTTCAAATCTCTCTTCTTGTGGAATGAAATTTTGATGTTTTCATAAACTCAGAGAAAATTTAACAGGTCAAATACACATACAGTGTATATTTTGAAGGTAAATCACACCTCAAACTTGTTGATAAATTCATGAATCACACTTAACTCTTTGTAAAGTTCACATTTTACAAATTGATTGATTTTAGCCTTATATAATCCTTATATAATCCTGTGTCACATACAAACCCTTTGCTACCTTCAATGGAGTGATCTAATTTCAAGCCCTGGATGGGACAAAGATCCCCTTTTCCTTTACATAGAAAGGATCTGAGGCCAATCCAGGTGTGTTTCGGGTGGTTTGGTTGAACCCTCCAAATTTCCCCTTAAAATGCTGAAATCATGTTTCCAAAGACCTAATTTTCAAAATCTCCCTCGGGAGCATACCCTTGGACAATTTGCTGAACCTCCCTTAATTAACTAAATGCTGGATCCACCTTTGAGGATATATGGGTGTGGCCCTCTTACACTCAAATGGCACAGTTAGTTTAACCCTGAGATATTGCTGAATACCAGTACCACATTCAAGCTATTATTTTTCTGGCCCTGATGAGTCCAATAGAAGTGAAAGTCTAACTGAGAGAACCTTAAGAGATTCAAAGACGTATTCATTTATTTTCTTTTTAATCTGATTTTATTGAAAAGACTTCCCACCTGTGTGAACAATACGAGACTGTTTTGGCTGACTGCTTTCAAACAATAGCTGTTGACTATTAACAATCTGCATGACACCTCCACCTGCTGCTTCTAGATCCTCAGGACTTCTTGATGCAGGGAGCCTAAAGGCCTTAGGTCTATCAAAGCGTGCACGTGGTGACACCTTGTCTTTTGAGTCCCAGATCTTGAAATCCATCGTATGGACAAACAGCTGAAGTAGCAGTTCCTTGGTGACTGTGACAGTGTGACTACAACATAATTTTTGTGTGAAAAATCGATTTTAATTTTCAATTTGACAGTTGCAGAATGCATGCAAAAATTTTAATCAGAACCATAGCAAAGTTTGTCGACCTGCAGATCAGTGACTAGCATCTCAGTTGCCCACTCATAAAACAATGTGAGCCTCATGTTTCTAAATGAACAGAGTAATTGGATAGTTTAACCCTCTTATGCATAGCAGCAACCACCATCTAATTAATTTTTTCCTCATAATATCACACCTGAATCAAATGTGTAAGCTAAGAATAATGGGATTGGTCAAAAACTAAAGAAGCTGACTCTATCGTTAAACAAATTCTCCCCATCAGTATCTTGGGAAATGTATAAATAACAGCATGCATGGATAATACGTTTACTGATGTTAGGTTGTAAAAATTTAACACATTACCCTACAGCGCCCTACATGATTGTACAGTTTGTATGCATGCCTTTATTGAAAAGTGGCAGTCAAGAATGCCCATACAAGGGTTGCATGCCATGGCATTTAATGCCTCAAAGCCTGCAAGCCACAAAAGAGCCATGATGGTGATATATGTGATACTTAATATTGACTGAGTGAGGCTCAGACTGGAAGTGAAAATATTGTGCTCTTGATCATGATGCAGAGACCTCGATCATTGCACTTGATCTGTAGGTTACTACAGACCCAATACTGTCTTCCTGTCCAGCACTCCTGCCTAGTCAATAAGAGGACATAATGAAAGCTTTGCCTCTATAATTAGACAGATAAAGCCATTTGCACATACTGTTGTACAGAACCAGCAGATTGCCAAGGATCAAGTCCTACCAAAATTATGTGGGAACAATTGTCATGGAGTACTGCTTGTGATCAATTATTACCCAGGAAAGTCATTAATTGAAAGATATCTTTAGTAGTCAGAGCTAAACTTTGAAGGCAAGAGATTTAAAACCGCTAGCAAATGGCAGGTACATGCAAGCCCATCAACACTTTATAATAAAAATGAAGTATTTCGGCTTTCCCCACCTCCCTGAATGGGAGATCCCATTCAGGAAGGGGTTTGAAAGTGAAAAAAACTCCTTTTCACTTTCTCCTACTGACAGAAAACAGCAGGCACCCAATAAGCCATGCTTATGCTGTATTTATCTTGTGACAATAAAACTACATGTTACTACCAAAAAAGGATCATTGTGATAACTTTCAAACAACTTATAAGTCCAAGTATTACCCAATGTTCTGTTCAGCAAATGGCCGGAGTTGCTATCAACACTTTTTGACAAAAACAATACTGCAGCAACTACTCCTTTTGACACTTTTTAACCCAAGCAGAGTATGTCTACTTTCCACACCTCCCTGTATGGGATATTCCATCTACAGAGGAGAGGGAAAGTAACAACACTCCCTTTTCACTTTCTGCTACAGAAAACAGCTGCACGTGCTTAAGAAGTTAAACAAAAAGTCTTCAAGGTAATATGTTTTACATAATATCTTCAGTTGTGACAATTAAACAGCAACAACAATCAACCATTGTGAAAGCTTTCAACCCACCTGTGGGTCCAAGTAACCCAAGTTCTGTCCTCATCTCGCCATGTCTTCAACACCTTGGAGTCACCCTCAGAATAGATCTTGGCTGCGATACCATAAGTTACAACATCTACCTTCACCGGCTCAGTTTCATTGGGAAAAAGTTTATACTCCAGATGATAATAATTTTGTGGTTTTGGTGCCTCAAATAACTTGCGCTTCCCTTTAGTGGTGGCAGTGCCCCGGTTTATAGCTTTAGGCTCGTTGTCATCTGGCAATTGAAAAGTAAATAAGATTTAATTTTCCCAATATCTCCACACTTTTCTAGTCAAAATTAAAAAAAAAATGTGAGAACAGCTTATTTTGTTCCTGAGAAAAAAGCCAAGCTCTTACCCCCCCCTGCAACATGAAAAAGAAAAATACTTTTCAAGGGGGGAAGCCTGCTCCACATCTGTAGTTTGATGGGGTTGGGTGAGGGATTTTGACACAATGTGGGTAAAACTCTTCAACTATTGCACTTTCCTTTAGGAGAAAGCCCTTTATGAAAGCATTCTTGTTGAATCACAAAACTACCCATTGTGGTAATTCTAATCTTATTCTCTAAAACTGTCAACAAGGTGAACTGTAGTAGAACTGTCTTCCATGTTTGCTCCAAATCGTCAAACATCAAGCATCATTCAAATATAAACACATCTTATATAAAAAGAAGTACATGTGGAAAATTTATTACTAAACGTTTTGATTATCAATGATACGCCTCTGTCCAATTTAAAAACATTAGGAGCCTGATGGAGACCGATTTAGGCCTGATTTAGACATCGAAGGCAAGACTAGAGTCTGGCAAAAACATTATTTGGCTCCCAACTAATGAGCCGGACAAAAGCTAAATTCTTGTCTGGGCCATGACTGACGTGGCCGTTCAAGGCTAACAGGAGCTCGTTGTCATCATCATCATTGTCTAGCTTGTTACATATTATTTTAACCTGGCACGTTCACGTTAAAACGAGTTATACTCAATTGTGAAGTGTGGATAAATAAATTACTTACTACTTATTTACTTAGAAAGACAAACGTCTCTCATTTACATTTTGATACAAAAAAAAAACATCGAGCTTGCACTACCATAGCAATAATGATTTCACGAGTAAATGTAAACAATCTCTTTTGGTTATGAAGATAAGAAATGATAGCAAATGAAACACGAGACCAGTAAGTTAGAAATTCGGAGGCTGAAATTTTTTTCAACATCGCATACCTGATGGAAAAGCTAAAGCTACCGTCAGAGTGAAGGTGACTTTGTGATCTCCCTCCTCTTTGTCCAATTTCACCTCCGAAACCATTTTTCACTGTTACTAAAATGTAAACGAGTGTATGATGAATTCCTCCAACAAAAGTTAATTTTCCAATATGCCCAAGATCAGTTCAAATAAAACACGCTGCTTTGGAACGATCTTATGAAACCTCGATTCGCTTCTGAATTAACTCATTTACTCTTAAACAAAGATCTTGATCCCCAAAACTTTAGACTTCAGCTGTTTCTGGTCCCGGAAAGGCAAGCGGCCTTGAACAACAAGAAGTCTTAAAGTCAATTCTTCAACCCCTGCTTCTTTGGCAGCCTGCGACGCTCCTCGCTGTTTTAAAAATCATAAGAACTTTTGCAGTCTTCCACAACGAAACAATGTCATCGTCAAATTCCTCTAAGGCCTCTCTTCCACCCAAAATCGCCTACAATTGGAATTCTGAAGTTTGTAGTCGAGGAGATCAAAGCTTCCACAGTTTGTTGCTATGCGGTTGCTAGGGAGGTAATTAGATTCACAGACACTACGCGTCCACTATGCCAGAAGTCAGCGGCTTCATTTACGCGGGAAAAGTGACCAGGTTTAGTTGTGCGTTTCATATTCCGAAGAAATGTTTTGATCTTGTTTCGATATTTATTCTTAATCCCATCGATATGGAAGGTAACTTTGCTGTTTTAAACATTCAATGCATCCATGAGTCCTAAATAGTCCGTTAGTCCATTATTTTTTGTGCGATCGCGGTAAGAAATCGTGGAATAATTTAGGATCAGTTGACAAACTTGAGGTTTGTAATATGTTTATTAATTGCAGACCAAGATGTAGACGATCTTGACCTCTTGGCTAGTCTTGTCAATAGTGATTCCGAATTTCTTGATGAAGGTAGCCTTCTGGAAGCAATTCCATCCGATGCTTCATTGCGATCGCCAACAGAAACACAGCAAACAGCTAATGAGCAAAACACACGATCTGGAACAACATCGAATTTGACCATGGAAGAAATGGCGGGTTAGTTATGATTCACAGGGATCTATATAACCTCTTCTGAGGGGAAGAAAGGTCATCGTGTTATTGTTATATTTAACTCGATTTTCTCTTCATTAATTTGACTTAAAAAGTGCCAATGATCACGATATTAAATATGATAATTCATATATAAATTATATATATCAGACAAAGAGGGAGCGAGTTAGACAACATTTCTAACTCCAAAGAATTGTGATAAAATGCTTCTAAAACCATTAAAATACATTTAAAAAATTGCTTAAAAAAGCTAGTTGACTAGATTTTTCAAAATAAATTTCAAGCATGTTGTTGCAATTTTTTAGAATAAAATTACACATCAAAGATATTAAAAATAATAATAATCCTTAGTTTTGAATAAATTATTACTTAATCTTCATGAATGTTGGAGACAAGTGACCCAATGGTTGGTGCACTGGACTCTAGGTCAAGGGGTCTGGGTCTAAGACCTAGCTGGAGTCAATGTGCAGTGTTCTTTGGCAAAAACACTTTTTTCTCCCCACCCAGGGCCCTGTTAGTTGAAGGTGGATTAGTGCAAACACAGGGTTAAATTTTTGATGCTACTCAAGTGCCTTTTTGGGATAATTTTCCTAATTCTGTTTGAAAGCGATCCCTGCTTATGTAGTGATAAACCCTGCTTATGTAGTGGTGGAAATAAGGCCTGAAAAAAATTCAGGTCCATATGGGTTTTGAACCCATGACCATTGGGATACCAGAGCAGTGCTATACCAACTAAGCTAACAAGCCAACTGGGAGCTCGTCATTATGTTGGTTTGTATTAAACTCATTAAATTAATAAATAAATAAATTTGAATATATAATAGTCATATATCTGTGTACTGTGGTTATATAGATATATGATTTTCATATATTCAAGTCGATTGATTTCCCAATTCTTTTCAGGGATTTCAATCATCAAACTGTAAACAAAAAGGATTCTACTAAATTTTCTATTAAAGCTCTCAGATCTGAAGGCAAATATCATACTAACCCTGGGTTATCTTAGCTAGTTTTGAACAACCCAGCCCAGGAGTGTAAATGGGACCAGCTGATGGGTAACCTTTTGATGGATTGGTATTCCATCCAGGGGGAAGTTGGGCTACCTCTAGTCACTTTGACACCATTAGGAATCCTGGATAAACTCCGACTGGATGATCCTGTTGGCTCCAGTACAGACTCTACCCTTTCGTATCAATACAATGAGCCTGGTTTCTAACTTAGTATTGTAAATCAGTTGTAATTTATTGTTTTTGTGTTTTTTGTTTTTTTTTTATTATGGTTTGATTTTTGATTGATCAGCACAAATGGCTAGCATGGAAGAATACATAAAAAAGCTTGAAGCAGAAAAGGCTGGTATCCTTTGCTTTACTTCTCTAATTGAATTAACTGTTCACTTGGTAATTGAACAGAAGGGGGGGGTGGGTGGTTGGTTAACCATGGTACTGTCTGGTGTCCTGTCCAGGGGAATGAAACGCAATATTGCTCTGGTCCCTGATGCTTTGATGGAAGCATTTTACCTATTTTCTGGATCTTCCTGCTGACTTCCCTTCACTAAAATGTTAATGGTTGAGCATCTGCCATTTACATAGAATACTTTCACTGTCAGTGGAAACAATGTTGCCTCCTTAACAATGCTTGTTTCAGTTTTGTTATCACCAACATCAAAGAATAACATACAGCAGTCTAACTCTGCTGACAAAGAACAAGAGTCCAAAGTTAGGGAGAACAAAAGCTCAAGGCAAGACATGGACCAGCAGATGCTGTTTTCAAAGGACTGCAAAAGAACAGCCCATGCTCCCACACGCTGTGTTAGCAAGACAGGTAAAGAGTAAAAGTAATGAGTATAATTTCTCAATCCATGTTATTATCTTTAGTGTAGATTCCAGCAAAGAGTTGATTTAAAAGAGAAAATTTATTTATACTGTTCACAGTTATAGAGTAAATTAAATGCATCTGATCATGTAGAGGTGATAATGAAAATGAAGATGTAAATGATGGTTTGACTAATAGGAAAAATTACAATATAAATTATACTAGATCTAAGAAAACTGACAAGCAAAATGAAAAAGAAAAAAGCACTAACAACTTACAGATATTTCCTCCTATTGATGTGAAAGGGCCAAGTAAAATAAACAATGATTTAAAACAAGAACTTGCTGCAACTTTAAGGCCAACACTGAATATAAATTATTGTACATTGAAAAAACAAGAACTTAAAAGTGTAGTCACATGAAGATTTAGGGTTAAAATTTAAATCAAGAGTAACTCACGTGCATGCATGAGGGGTCATGCATGTTTGCATCTTACATTAATTTCTTCCATGCCACTGAGTTGAGCTTCTGGTGAAAATTCACTCCTAAGATCTATCTTGTAATTCTCACTTCTAGCTGCTCTACAGTTATTTGTAAATTAGTTAGGAGAATTTGGTATTTCATCAAGATAACACTCTAGCCTAGAAGTTGTCAATTCTCATAAGTTATTAGCTGTATAGCATAAATTGATATTTATTTATTTATTTATGAATATTTAGACAGGGTAGCCCAGTTCAGCAAATACACCTGTAGCTGTTTTAAATGGGGCCCTGTGAAACAATAACACCCACCCATCCCACCCCAGGGGAGGACATCCACCACACAGTAATCTCGTGTGTGGGAAATTAACGTCTCCTACCCCTAACCCTGCAGGAGATGGGGCCTATGTTTATTCGTCCTTCTGCAAGAAGACTAGAATATCTATCCATTTCTTTATATTATAGAAAGGTAACCAATTCTCCTCAGTTATTTTAAGACTATGAGTATTGGTCCGGCCGCAGCTCAACCCTCGACCTCCCGCACGACACAATCCATCACTCTAACCACTTGAGCTAACTGGAGGAATTCACATGTTGATCAATCTCTTCTAGCATTCAAATAATAGTATCTTTTTGTTTTTGTTTTGTTAAAGTGAACAAAATACAGTCTCTATAAATATTACCTATTACTCCCACAAGTGACCAATACGGAATTTCTCTTCACAATAATAATACAATATCAACTGGAATAGTGTTTAGAATAAAGAAAATAAAAAACTAGGGGATTATTAGTTGATGCAATACCAAATTCTCCAATCCTATATTATAAGGAAGTGTATAGCAGACTGTGAGGAGAATTTCTTTTGAAAATTGATGTTGGGAGTGAGAGGGTAACTGTAAATTATGCCATTATACTGACATATCCAAAATGCTGAAGGTCAGAAAAAAGTGAAAGAAAATGAAAAAGGTAGAAAACCGTTTGAGCATTTCTCTAAAGAAAATATTTCTTGTCCAAGAATTGGGTCAATCTGACAGGTTTATGTAACTCTGAATTTTTTTTTCTTTTTATGATAGTGCATGTAAGTTATACTGCACATGCACCAATGCTTATGATTTGTGTGTACATAACTTTATTTGCAGTTTCCTCAGATTCTTCCTCCAGGCCTTACAATTCTACAAACCATAAAGCTTCCGAAGTCTCATCATCTGTAAAAATGAAACCTGGACATGGCCCAGAAACAAAAACTTCAAGGACTGCCGAAAGAATGAGGACACAAGATAACAATCCAAGTAATGGAAAACTGGCGAAAAATGCTGCAGATGAAACAGAGAGCAGAACAAGAAAGACAACAGATGACAATAAATTTTCTCAGGATAGGTTTTCTAGCTTGCGAATTATTAATCCACTGATCTCATCAGTTGTTATGGAGAAGAGAATGGAAGGACGCAGAATGGTGAAAATATCACAGATATCAACCAAGATTAAGGGAAATAATGATTTTGATGGGGACTGGGTGACAATTGGTGTGATAGTTCAAAAAATGCCTCCGAAGAAAAGCTCAAATGTAAGTTCAGTATTTTGTATCTTTTAATAACAAATTAATTTAAAAATAGCTCAGTAGCAGGGCTTTCTGGGAATACCCTTATCCAAAGGATCACTGCACCTCAGAATTGCAAATTGTATCAGGTTTTTGCATGATGAATGAGTTTTGTCAGGTGTCATAACAGCAGGTAGCTTCAGATAATATTATATGTGTATTGATCAACTGATTTGTCTGGTGGGGAGATTACCAGTTGATAATTGGTAAAAGTCAGCTGATGATCTGTTCAAGGTGAGGTGCTAGATGGTCAATGTCCAAATGTCTGTTGTACATTAAGCAATAACAAATCCTCTGATTCCTCAAAGTTGCTAGCATCTAATTTTTCCTTACAATAGCACTCCTGAATCACACATTTGCCGTGATATTTGCAAATTGCTAGACATGCTAGTCTTCTCAGATAAGGACAATAAACTGTAGGTATCATCTCCGGCATCTATTTTGTACTGGTTACCAGAGGAAGTTAAAGAAACCAATGCATTTCTTGTAAAGGGTGGGAGATGTAACTCCCAGACAGTGTACATGTGGTTTGACCTTGTCATGGTTTATACTGGCACCCATTTCAACCAGCTTTGAGCTGAACTGGGCCAGCCTGTCTAAATACCACAAAGCCGTAGATGTACGATCCATACATACTTGGCCCAGATGTAGACTTTGCCTTTTTGATAAGGCAACCATAAACCTGCCAAATGACTTGACTATCAAACAAGAATATAATTATTGTTATCACATATAATGTCTAGTTGTTAAGCAGATGATGTGCTGGATGGTACTCCAAGTTTCAAACCAATTGTGTCTTGAGTATCAAGTTTTCACAAGGAGTTTCTAAGTTTCGTTCATTTTCAGGGGCAAACTTATGGTATATGGAAACTCTCAGATCTTGGACCTAACACTAGCAATGAAATTGTTGCATTGTTTCTCTTTGGTGATGTCTACAAAGAGCACTGGAAGACGACAGAAGGAAGTGTGGTGGCCGTCCTTAATGCTTCTCTATTACCAGCAAAAGAGGTAGCACTAACAGTTGCATGGAGAGTAAGATCATTTGGTTTTAGCAGCTGGGTTGATTATGTAAAGTGATGACTACAGAGTGTTGCTTGAGCTGCTGATTTGAGCATGTGCACTCTGACGAACTGCTAATACTAAAATCATCAGCTTTAGAAATTATTAATTGCATTTAATTACATTTATTTATTAATTACATTCCTAATTACATTTATCAATGCAGTTGATAAAACCAAATTATCCTGTAACTCCCCCCCCCCCCTTACAGACAGAGCAATACAGTTTGATTAGAAAGTTATCTCCTTTATTCCTTTTCCTTTTGAATAAACAGACATCCTTTGATTTCAGGCAAGCACAAAGGACTGTGCAGGGAAAAAGATACACACAAGTGGACAAAGGCACAAAAAATACAAATAAATGTGTGTCATCCTATTGTTTGCCCCTTCTTGCCTGAAAATCTCAAAAATCTCTCCTGACCTCCTTGCCAAATTTAACAGCTTTATTCTTATTCTGTGGTCATTCTTAAGCGAGGGTAATTTGACAAAAGCATGTGGGCCAGGGTCTCTGTGAACTTAATTTGATACTATTGTTGCACCGTAAAATAATAAAATTATTACATTCCTATCCTTTTAGAAAAATTCTAAAGACCTGGCTCTCACTTTGGACAATGCCAAAAAACTTATGCTGATGGGAATATCCAAAGATCTTGGTAAATGCAAAGGAGTAAAAAAGTCAGACAATCGTCCATGTACAAATTTTGTCAACAGGTACAAAATGTAGTGTAGTTTTAACATAGTTCATCTAACTATGTGTACAAGGAAGAGAAAAAATGTGATGCAAATTGGAAAGGTTGGGTTGGGGTTGGACCAGTGTTGGGCCAGCATTAGTCCAGTCTTGGGCAAGTGTTAGGCCAGCATGGTGCAAGTGTTAGGCCAGCATTGGGTCAGTGTTAGGCCAGTGTCAGGTCAGGGTTGGACCAGCATTCCTGGTCAGCATGTGATACCAGCAAATATTCAATGTGTTTCCTCCATTTTGATTGGCTGTATTTCTGTGGCATACTTGTAGTCCTAAAAACCTTTTCTTTGAAATTTAATGGAAATTATGTGGGAAAGGTTGTCTTTGTAGGTGCAAGTTACATCTATTTATGCATATTGAAATTATACATTCAAGTGACTTGTAGGATATTTCAAAGATTACAACTCAAAGCATTACATGCACTACGGATATCTATTCAATACATTTTAATCTTTTTTGATAGACAACATGGTGAGTTCTGTGAATACCATGTCCAAGCAGCCTACCGCTCAATGAGAGCCCAAAGAATGGAATGCCAGACAGGGTATGGAAATTCAACGATATTTACTAAAGACTCCTCTGCCATATTTTTCTAGCTTACAGAGCAGGCATGAGTTTCAATGGGTGGGTGCCCAGTATTTACATGGTGGAAGTTTAACATGTAACAACCATCTTTGATTTCTTTTGAGTTTTGCCATTTTCATCTTCAACCCTTTTTATGTTTTTTTTTTTTATTTTTTTTTTTATTTTTTTAGTTATGGTCCCTCAGCTAAAGCGCCACTTATGAAGAAGTTTCAGAAAGACCTCAATGCTTCAACCTTCATGTATCAAGGACGTACAGTGAATGCATCTAATCACAACACCGACCACAAAAAGAAGAATGTTTCTCTGAAGAGTCTTAACGTAGGTAAAAGAAATGGGTCCACGGAGGCAGCAGTGAAAGGTGAGGTTACAGATATAGGACCAATCTTACAGCATTACACCATTTTGCTATTAATTTTGGAAGTACATTGACTGAAAATCTGTTTATAATGCCCATGTTAGCCCGCTTCCAAACGGTAGTTGGTATGTGTTTGATTCAACACAGCAAATAAATTTAGTTACCATATTGGATGGGTCGAAGATCTGGAACGAGTGACAAGGCGACAGGGAAGGGCTTTTAGGACATGTCAGCTTATTCATTTATTATAAATTATCACTTTTCCTAAACGAGCTTCCCCACACCTTCTAAGCTATGCCCTTGGTAGAATGGAGAAGGGACTGTGAGTCCCTAAGAAAAGAGACTTTTAATTTTTTCAGTGGTCAAGAAGAATAAAGAAGGAAATTTATCCTCAACTCTTTAATTCCAGTGAAAGACTAGGACAGAATRATTTTCTCCTTACAACATCAATACAAGATCAAGGAGACAAGTAATGAGAATAAAGAAAATTATTACACGACTCGGGCAGTCAGAGGGCCAATAACTAAATTCAACCAATCAAAATGCTCTATTGCCAGTCAATATTCTCTCTGTATTGGACCGGGCACTGTCCCGAATGGTACTGAATGATACCGCACTTGTGTCCCTTTGAACTTCAGTCGTATAATAAATGTCTTGTTAACCAAGCTTGCTCGGGACCGTACTGGAAGAATATCGGCCCTCGGTCTTTTTTGTACGGACCTCGCTGCGCTCGGTCCGTACTGTCAAGACCTTGGCCTGATATTCTCCCAGTACGGCCCTCGCGCTTGGTTAATAAGATATAAATATCAATCAGGGGATTATTAATTGATCCAATACAACTTCTCCAAACTAGCATCATAAGTGTTGAAGATAATCACAGTGTAAATATTTTGTACTGAAGGTGTTTAATCTGCAAAGCGAACTCCTCAGTCGGTACAGCTGTAAATTATAAAACAGAAAGCTAGAAACTAGAAACCGAAACAAATATTGAATTACGAAAAAAAAGTAACAACACACAAAGCGACAACTTACATATTTTTGGCCCTCTCCAGGCTAAACCAAACATCAACATCAAAGAAACAAACCTTCCTACACACAAACAGCGGACAAAACAAATTTTTGAGCACATGGTCACAGAAGTCACGTGGTCTGCACAAGGAGGGGGGGGACCGGAGGGGCAAACTGTCCCTAACAATAAGAATTGTATGGCGGACAGTAAGAAGAATTATTAATGAGATCTTGGGAGCGAAAGTGTTAAAGGCTAATGAAATCCCCTCCCCCCCCAACAAGAGTTGTTCATCTACACAGTACATCAGATTTAAATGGTTCTGTCAGATGGCAATGAATTTGTAATTTGGCTTTTAAAGAACCCATCCCCTCTCTTGGTCGCTGCATACAACTATTTCTGATTTTCAGTTTGAACTGTTAATACATTTTTTTCCCTGATTATTCAAGTTTTTTATTTTCTCTTTTTATTCAGGTGATTCAGATCATCAAAACGGACCTAAAAGCAATCCTGCCGTTGAACCTTCAGACTTCTTGTAAGTGTCGTACAGGTGCTAGGGGAACAGTTATTATTTAATGATATAAAAACATCGTTTGTCTCGTGACGTGGTCACTTATGATGTGAACCGCAGCGTTTCGACTGCACACTGCTGGTCCTCACCAGGTGATGATGAATGACAAGCAGTTTGCAGTCCAAACGTCGCGATTCACGTCGTAAGTGACCACATCGTGGGACAAACGATAATACTTTATTATTTTTTTTAATAATAGTTGCCATAAGAATATTACAGAGCCTTGCTATGACACAACGAAAATCCTCCATCTTCCTTCCCCTCCAGTCGGAGGTGATAAATAAGGACCATTCCCTCAGATTGTAGATTAAAGCCATGACAGTCACAGATTTCCTATTCGAAAGATGTTTTCCCTTTCAGTTTTGTTTGTTTGTCATATGACCGTATTGCGAGTTGACAATGCCTCTTTTTCGAGTTGGTATGCAATAACAGTGGTCAAACGTCCGCGCGTGTGTGAAAGTTGAAGCGGTTTAGAGTCGGCCCAAAATCATGCTTTCAGGCTGCCAAGTTCTCACAGGAGTTTTTAAAAGAAACAACCATATGGGTTAGGAAGTAACTGCGTTTTATAAACGTATATGCATAACGTAATAGTAAAACTGTTAAACAGAAGAGTAAACCATGATTAAAAAAGAAAAAACTTCGAGTGCCAAAAGTCTTAAGTTTCCTTTTCTCTACTTTCCTTTTCTTTCACAGTTGTCTTAAAACGTTTTGATTTTTGCACACACCGGTTGTTTTCTATGTTTTCTTTGTAACAATTTTGTGCGGGAAATTGGCGCACGGCTAGCTAAAATTCATAGATTGGCCCATGCGTTTGACTGTTATGCCATCATATTTTCTGAGGGAGTTGGCCCTCGGATGCATCTAAAGGTGCTTGCCATGAAACATGTAGAGCCAAAGTGAAAGATCTTGTTCTGGCTCATGCTAATGGAAAGCAGAAGTCCACGTTTGGCATGTAGGCACACGTTAAGCGCACCACCTTGTGTGTTTGTAGTCTCAAATTGGGAAAATCAATTTGCAACACCTACAACAACATATAAACTATCAAGATTTTCCGTCCCCTCGTGAATAGTCTGCTCATGCTTCAAATTCAGTGCTAGATAGGTGACAGGACTGTCCAATTGGCTAAGTCTGACAAAGAGAAAGCGACCAAGGCAAAGCAAAAACTTTCGTTTCTCTCTCTCTGTTTTTTTTTTTTGTTTTGTTTTGTTTTGTTTTGTTTTTTTTTGACAGAGTGCAACTTCTTGAAATGCCAACAGTTGGCTCCAGAAACCTGATCCGACATCTAAACCAGGACGAGGAACAAAGTAAGTGCTACAAAAGGATCGTAACGCTTTCACCCCTAGATCTAGATATCAATTCTCCGCTCTGTCTGCCATACACCCTTAACAATTTTAGCTTTGAGAATTTGGTGTTTAATCATATAATACCCTCGAGTTGAAGTTCTACTTTATTCTTATCGCCTTTCTGCTGGAAATGTATCGATGTTTTGAGAAGGAATTGCTTTTTGGTCACATGTAGGAGGGAAATGGTGGGAAAAAAAGGATACTTACAACACTCAGATCTGATTCTGTGATTATATATTAAGCGATCTGTACAACGCGGAACTTTTTTGCGAGCAAGGCCATTTTCGAAGGAGAGAGTAAGGAAGAACCCAGAATTTAATCTTGGTCTTCCAATAAGGAAAAAACTTTCAAGAGTAGCGCACTTCCAAGTTACCTTTAGCATCTTTTTCAAAGCAAGTCCTGGTTCTCATTCTTTCAAATGATAATGCGTTTTCATCCACATGAAAATTAAACTCATTTTCTTGAGAAGGGATGAGTACCTGGCCTTGTTTGGAAGAAGAGGCCTTAGGTAATTCGGAAATGGCCTACTGTCACCAGTGTGGAACATTTAAGTAAATCTCTCGTAAGTGCCAATTGCGAAGAAAGTATATGACCTTTTCAAAAGATAATGAAAAATCGTCTTTTTTCTTTGGTGGGAAATTATAGGGAACTTGCTTCTTGGGTGGTTTACCACGAATCAATTTAAATCGGCTTGAGTAACGAGCTCTTGAAAACGTGGGAGAAAGTTATTAAGCGGTCGAACACTTGAGTAGGGGAATAACCTTTTGACTGGTGACTTACTGGCTAACTGAATGATTGAGTGACTCGGTGGTACTTGACTGTCTATCTGACTGGTTTTCTGACTTGCTGGCCGACTGGTGACTAAGTGGCTAATTCACGGATGACTGACTGGCTGACTGGTCGGTTAACAGGCTCCCATTAGCCCCTTTACACCCTGACATCAGTATGAATATTCTCGACACTGGTTTCCATACATTTTTTAAGGTGTTGACGAGGAGAATTTGTTTAGCAATCAATAGTTTCTTACGTTGGTGATCATTTTCTTAATTCTCCTGACCTTAATGTGTGATTCAGGGGGGGAATATTGTAAGGAGAAATTAGATTTTAGTCACTCTTAGGGGTTAAAGGATTAATCAGCGTTTCAGCAGGATTGTTTCTTCGCCCGCGGGAAAGTATGAGCCCATGAGCAGTGAGAGCCGGCCATAGGTCTGCGAGGGGTCTCGAACTGATAATTATTAGTGCCAGGCCTACGGCGGACCTTTGCTCGATTCGTCTTAAATCTTCCTGCGGGCGTGGAATGGCGCGTCCTGCAGAACGTTTTCTGTTGTTCCATTTTTCCTTTTTTTAATAAAATGTTGATTTTTTGGCTTTCGTTTATTTTTCAAGAAAAGCCAGAGGAAGAACGAAAGCCCTCAATGTCTGCTTCTGAGCTTCTAAAAGCGCATGAAAAGGAAGTCAAACGAACGAAGTCTTTGTCCACGGGTACACCCGGTGCACCCATGTTGGGGCGTGGTCTGGCACCAGGATCGGATCTCTTCTTTGATGATTCACCCAGGTTCAGAAAACGGAAATTAAATGATGCAGAAAGAGCCAAGGTAGACTTGACCTAATACCAATTTAACTCTGTTTTTTTTTATTTTTTTTTTCTTACAACCGACTGCACTTATCGATGCTATCACAACTTTGATCTAACATTGCCTTTTTGCCAAAAAGAATTGAAAGCAACAGGTTGTTTTTTTTTTCTTTTTTTTTTTTTTACTTTTTGACGTTGTCTAATACTGTCACCAGACATAGATGTTTTGACTCCTAGGATTTGATTGCTAACTGCGTATGTCAGCTTTCTTTGGCGCTACTTTACGAAAACACTTTGTCGTTGATAAGTTGGACAGGTCTGTTCTTGTCAGTTTTGATCGAGAAGGGGAAAATAGTGTTGCTTGATAAACTATTTAACACCATGAGTTAAGGGTTAAATTTCTCGTCATTCCACCACTGCTTTATCTAATTTCAAGACACTGTTCAACCACAGAAAACGTTACTTTTTTCAGAGTTGTCATAAGAAGCCGTTTCCGCCGGCTATTAGACCATTTTGCGCCCATTACTTTTAGCATTGTGATCAAAGACAGAAAATAGGTATTTTAAACTGATGATAACATCAATCTCTGGCTAAAAAAGTTACTCAAATATGTCCCAGAATGCTGGAAATCACTTCTCAGAGAGGTTCACATTTGAGGTTTTTCCAAAAGAGCATTTTCCAACCCTCCCAGGAGAGCGTGTTACTATGCAACACGCCAACAGCCTTCTTCGTTTCATATCATACATCCATTACATTTTCTAATGACATATTTTTTTCAGCTCAAAGCTTTGTCACTTGTGAAACAGAAAGGACCTATCGAAAAAGAAGACCCAAACGCTGTTCGCAAAAAGTTATCTCCTAAAGCACAGGAAGAAATTCAAAAGAAAGCGTTTGAAGAGAGCAGTAAAGGTATGCCCAAATAAACATTGCGTGCCTGAGAAATTTTACCTAAAGCTCCTCCACGCCGATCTGACAAGTGTGAAGCACTTGAACGTTAAAGGAAATCTCTGATTGGCTGACATAGCACCGTGTGATTGGACAAGAAATCTCGTACCACCGTATCAACCAATCATAGGCTAAACTCAAATCAAACAGCAACTTGGTCACCCGCGTTTTACCGCGTTTGACAAATGCTCATGTGATTTGTTTGATGGCCCTCTTTCGACCATTATTTGCACATGCTCCAATTTTCATCCCACACTGAGTGCAAATGTTCTTTGTTTCTGTCGTAGAAAACAATGATGGAAATACTGATCAAGATTCACGGAAAAAAAGAAGACGGATTTTAGGACCAGAGTTTGGATCGATAGATCTGGCTTCTGAAGAAGGTAAAATACTACTGGCTGCAAAATCACAGCATGTTGGAGCCGTGCGAGAGGTGAGTGTAACAACTAGAGGAACATCATCATAACAATAAAAATAATGATAATGATGATAATAGTAATAATAATAATGATAATAATAATTATAATAATAATGATAATAATAATAATAATAATAATAATAATAATGGGTGTTTAGCAGTGGACATTCCACGAGGTGGCTCTTGTCCACAGTTTCCCGGTCGAATTGGAAGTTGGAATGTCGTTTTTTTTTTTGTGAAGGATCCGTGTCGAAAACGTTAAAAAGCTGTACCACGCTTCTTTATTAAGTGACAGTTTATTCACTTGACTTTACGATTCTGTTACAACTCTTTAGTTAACTCCCATTCACGGCTCTTCGCTTATTCGAATAATAGGTCACTAAAAACGTTGCATTACAGGCATATGGAACAATACCATATATGGGCGAAATCACGTGCCGCATATTATACATGTTGTTTGGTTATATAATAGACAAACTAAATCACTTGTAGTGTCAATAAAATTAAAACTGATTAACGTTTCGTACAGTTTTCAACACCCGGAAAAAACCTTTGCAAGGGTGAGAACCAGCTACAAACTCAACCTACATGTCACGCCAGTTCTGGGAGTCGAACCCAGGCCCCAGTGGTGTGAGCCGAGCTCTTCCACCACTACACCTCCCCGCTCATTTTTGTCCGGTCTATCATGAACAAACCCTTTGCCGAAACAGGAGTCCACACTTTCAATTGATCATCAGGAAAAATGATTCTCCTAACAGCGAAGCTGCGGTTTAGCAGAGCCAAGTTGCAACAGGCGATTAAGTATTGTATCTGGGTGACTGACAACTTCACTTTTCTAAAACCTGTTAAGAGCGGGAAAGTTTTTCCAACGTGCAACCTAACCCAGCGGTCAAACGTCTGCGCATGTGCGGATGATGTAATGACTTGGTGATGAGCTTTTAGGCTGTTAGAACCAAGTTGTCTCAAACAAGTTAGGAACAACCACACAAGCCAGTATGTCACAATGTTTTAGAACCGTACCGCTTTTCTCGTAAATCTCAAAAGAGACTGGTAAATCAACGGGATACCCCTACTTGAAAAATGACGAGAATGTGGACTGAAATAAAAAAATATTGACACTTGAGTAAAATATATTTATCATAAGATGTCACTAAAGAAAAAATAAACAAATAGGACAACAATTCCCACGCCGGGGATCGAACCCGGGCCGCGGCGGTGAGAGCGCCGAATCCTGACCACTAGACCACGTGGGATATCTGCTTCAGATAAATCTATTTTTACCTCGATTAATACCTGTTTCAATCCAACATCTATCACTCGTCAAATCACTTGTAGAATCAAAATGACAATTTTTTTTCTTAAATATACCACACAGCTTTGTATAAAGAGAAAAACACGAATGTTCCTTTTCCTACTTTTGTTCCTTTTGGAGATTTCTACAAACGGCTCAATTTTCTATCCCTTATTTTTCGAGACAGCGGTTGTTTCTGTTTTCTTAGAAATTTCGCGCGGAAATTTGGCGCGCGCGCCAAAAATTAATTCCCTCGCGCATGCCTGACGACTGTCCACTGTGTTGTGCAAACCGGGCCTAAAATAAGACCAGTGTATCCGTTTTGATTAGAAACCACGTATTTATGTTTAGGCTGTGGCCGAGAGGGAGGAAAAATACTTCAACGAACTGGAAAAGAAAGAAAGACTAGAGGATAAAATGAAGACGATCACAGAGCTCAAAGTGAAAGTTGTTAGCTGTAAACAGGTAAACAATTGTGGTTTACTATGCCTTTTCAATAATCTTGTTGTATTTAAACAAAAGGCAACTGTCTTTTGTTTTTTGTTGCCAGTCTGCACTACGATCTACTGTTTACTAAAAAGATAAACATTTCACTATGTTTACCTCGTGGACATTAGAGCAATTGGAAATATAAAAAAAGTTCAAATGAAAAATTCTAAAGTTGATGTCTGAACTCTGCCATCTTTACTTTACTTTTTAAGTTAACTTTCCCTCGCTCAGATGACAGGCCATTTTGATTACCTTAAAAAAACCCTTAATCATCTTGGACTTTTTTGTAGTGTGATTACGTAGCGGAGAGTGCCTCGGAACTCTGCCACAAGGAAAAGCATGCGCTGAAGTATTGTAAGGCTCTCAAGAAGTTCTTCGTGTGTAAGGGCTGCAAAACTCGTGCGGTGTCATATGGATCACCAATTCCTAAACATCCTTGCAAGTAAGAGTAACTACCAACTTTTTATCTTTTTTTTTTTTTTTTGTTTGTTTGTTCAATTTTGCTTTCTTTACTTCTCCTCCCATCTCTTTATTTCCATTATTTGCCTTTGGCTAACCTATCATTTGAAACTCTCCTCTCTTTTTTCTTATTTACTACCAGCATTTTCTTTTCCCTAAATTTCCGAACTTGTCCATTTGTTTATTTCCCCCTTATATTTTTTTTTTCTGTCTTTACCATTCGATTTGTTTTCTTTCCATTTCTAGCCTTCCCTTTAACTTCCTTTCATTCTTAGTCTCTTCTCCTTTTTTGATTTACACTTCTATATTTGGTCTAGGCAATGCGGTGCTTCAAACTATCAGAAAACATCCATTTACAAGGTAAGACATTAACGCTTAATGAACAACTTTTAGATCTGTCAGTATTCGCAAAATGAAAGCTTGTGAGTTCGTTATCACTTGACGAGCTACTATCTTCGACGATCGTCGACAACTTCTTGGAAAAAGCAGCCTGACCCTGTTCTGTCAAAAATGTCTTGATAAGCTAGTCTCCAATAAAGCAAGTTGAAAGAAAAAGCTTAACATTCGTGAGCTAAAATCTTGCAGAAATCTCAGTTTCAAAAATGGCATCGCATTAAACCTACATCTCGCTAACATTCCTCCTTGAGCATAACTCGATGATTTCCTCATTGGATCGATTCTCAATCGAAAGTCTAAAGTAATCCTGGACTGTATTGGTTTTTCTGAGTATTTGGTGCATAAAAACCACGCCTTTCTTTCACCCAATCAGATGCGAATCGGCTTCAAACCAACTGTGGCCTAATCTCCCGCGCTTGAGGCTGATCACGTGCTTTCACTTTAAATTCCTATTGGTCCCTTTTGATGCCCGCCTTTTGTCTGTTTGCAGCGTGATAACTTTGGTTTTCTTTAAACGTCTCTTGATCAAAATGAGCGTTCTAAATCTTTTTGTACTTTTTTTTAATTGATCTTCATTTTGGTTCTTTTTGCTGTTGTTTGTTTTCAGGAAACGGAAGGACCGAAAATAGCTGGAGAGACACTACTCGTTAGAGGAGAAGAAGTTCCCAAATTTCTCAACAGCCTTTAATTAAGAGTTATATTAAAATAATTTTAATCAGAGCATTTGTTATATTACCTTGTAAATGAAACAGTTTTAATTATATTGAAAAATTTTACCTGCAGTCGAACAAGTTTAGATTTATATCGTTGTTGAGTAAACCCGTTTTGAAAAGAAAATTATGTCATTGTTATTTCTTATGAGAAAGTCAAAGCAATGTTGTCTAGGTTCTTAATAATCAAAATTGAGAATCGTACAGCAACCAATACCTTTCTGTTTCAAAGCGGAGTTTATGGCATCAACAAAAGGCATACAACTGTGATTAAATAATGCCACCAGTTTGATCAAAGCTAACATCGTGCTCGGACACAAGCTTCTTTCGCTTTTTCTCGCCTGATGGTGCTCACCTCCCACCGACATTTAATGAACATGTTCTCTTATTTCAAACTAAACTCCAAGTACGTCAAATTTACCGTTCTGCCTCACAAAGAGGTTGCGTAAAATTGGCTCTTCTATAAACTTTCTCACGTCTCAGTTTTCGATGGAAAAGTAAGCATTCACAAATTATATAATTTGAGAGGTTTGTTTTTCCTAGTAATAATTTGACAGAATGTTACGCCCAATGTTTAAAAAAAAAACCGTTTTATTAGTCATAACTATTACTGACATTTTTCAAGAGCTGAATTTCAAAACTAACAGCTTTTAAGAGATGAATGGGTACATCGCCGAACTTTGTAACTTGAATTGCTGGCCCAACATCTTTCTGTTGACTTGTTCGAGACAAAAACCTAAATTGTGTTTCTAGCACAGCTAATCGGATCTTACTTTTAATTAATTTTTCATGGTAATAATTTCGAACTCGACTGGTATTCGACTTAGCGCCTGCATAATTGATTTCGGCGAAGCTTCTGGTATTACTGGAGTATCTCACAAAAACCATATGTAAAACAACGAAAACGAACTTCAAACAGACACACTGCCTGCGGAGGCAAACTTTTTAAGCAGAAAAATGCATTATTACATAAATCTTCGATCGCATCTGTTGCGTTGTGTGTTAGTTTTAAACTGCCTTTTAGCAAAAGGGAGAATATGCAGTTGGCGAGCAGCAAATTACAACAACGTTGGGGAAGGTAAGGATGGAATCATGCTATACACTACCGTAAGCTGTAGAAAGTTAGTGAGGTGCATAAGTGTTGTATTATCTTTTGTTTAAACGTGTTTGGAATGACACGATTAACTAAACTAATGATATTACGTGGGTATTCTTACCATGCGCTAATTTATTTTCAAACGGGTTTTCCAAATCACTCGAGATGGTAAAGCTGATTATTTTGTTTGATCAGAACATGGTTAGACCAAGGGGAGAACATTTAGTCTGTAGAGCATAAAAGTGACAGTTATGGAATTCAAAGTAATTTATTTTCTTACAGTTTTTAAAAAGCCCTTTTATTGGTAAAGCTGTATTTAATCAGACATGAAAATAATTCAGACTGAAGAAAATTGAACAATTACACGAGATAATGCCAATGGGATGAAGTAATTCTAGAGGTTTCTAGCTTCTTTTGTCACAGTTCAAGCTTTTTCATCCTTGGTAAAGCTGCTGTGGTTTGAAGTGAAAGGCCATGAAATATTAATATTAAAGGCAAAACTTTTAAATCAGCATTTCTGATAACCCTTGCCGAGTAGTTCTTCGCGCGTGAAAATTAATTGAACCGACGGGAACGAAGTCATTATTCGTGCTAGCGGAGTCCAATATTAAAGGGAATTTTCATGGTAGTGGCCGACAAAGTAAAATGTGCTAAATCACAATTGCTTTGACAATGAAGGATAATTCAAGGCTTTTTTGTAACAAGATAATCTTAAACATAGTAATTAATTTTTCGGCTGTTTTCACCGGAATAAAAAATAAATAAGCTCGACCGAAATCTAGTCGAAATACCACTCGGGCTTGACTGGGTGTCCCTCGTGGAAAGGCGCCGAAATCTTCCAAGGGATCCCACAGGAATCTTTTTCAGTTTTCCTCAAGATGCACGTTAGACTCTCGGCGTGGTCTGGTTAGTTTTGCTGTCGAGCCAAAATTAGAGATGAAATTCGGTAAGCATGATCCCATCTTGTAAGTTAAGTCCACTTTTCGACGCTCCAAGATGTAACTTTTTTGAACAAGGTAACATAACGTTTGCCAGTTTATATATACCTAGTTTGACAAGTTTAGCGTTTCTAACAACCTAATTTTTATAATACTATTTGTGATTTGTGTGTTTCTTACTTAGGTATTTTATCTTATCTTTTTCACAGGATTTGCTTTGGAAGGTCATATCATTGCCTCGCTTCAGGTTCAAGACATTTTTGAATGTTCGTTCGCGTGCTTTAAGGATTCTCGTTGTCGATCTTACAACTTCCGGGTTCCAGGCCCTACTCACCTTTGTGAGCTGAGCCGCGAAAGTGTCTCTACGAAACCTGAAAATTATACGTTGCATGGGGATATGATTTACTATGATGCTGGAAGGGTAAGTAACAGCCATGCTATGAACGTTTAAAGGTTATGGATCTTAGTTATTGACCAGTAAACGGTGTCTGTAATCAAGGAAATGGCCTTAAAGAATTTCCCTAGAGAGGTAAACGCTATTCATTGAGGTACAAGATTTTCGTGACGGATACATCCCATCACGCGGTTCAAAGTTGTCTTTAAAAATCAACGACTCTTCCTGACATCAGAGCCTTTGCATGGGTTATTCTTCGATTTCTTGTGTCAAGGCCCAATCGAACTACGAAATTTTAAATCGATTAGCTCTGAGGACAAAAATGGACCCAGTCCACAACGGCCTCTGTTTTGAAAGCAAGGTCCCCGGACGAAGCAGCTTTAAAATGATCACTTCCAAATGATAACTTTCATAGGGGCACTGAATTCTTTCAAGATGGTGGTAAGACGCCATCTTAAAAAAAATCGACAAAAAATACCTGAGAACGAGGTTGGTTATTCCTTGTCAATTGACATCGTCGTTTATCATTTCCACAGAGCGCCGGGTGTTCATCTTCACCATGTCATAATGGCGGTAGATGCGTTTCCTTATGTAGATTAGACATTCCGTTCAGTTTTGTTTGTGACTGCGATGTCCTTCATACAGGTGACATGTGCCAAAACTGGACAGGTGGGTATCGAACACCTTCTTTGCACGAGGATTTTAGAGACTGGGCACTAGTGTAATACGCTAAGAATTCTGGGATTATCAAGTGCACAAGTGACTGAGAATAAAGAAATATATCAATTGGGGAATTATTAGTTGATCCAATACCAAGTTCTCGGAACTAACAGCTGAGCAGGAGACAATTGCCCTAATTAGTGCGTGAACAGGAGAAAATCGCGTTAATCAGTGGGATCATGGCGTTCATTAGAAGTTTTTGCACGACGTGATCCTTTTGTGCTATTTGCGATCGACCATTTTGGTATATATTAGTTATAGTTTAGTATTTTTTTTCGTATTAAGTTTTTTTCATTCCTCGGAGAGTTTGTTTCGCTTAAGGTTTGGTCTTGTAATCGAGTGAAATAGAATAAAATGTTTTTCAGGTAAACAACAGCATAAGAATTATATATGGCAGACAGTAAGGAGAATTACCAACTACATCTGAGGAGTAAAGGGTTAAAAGTTACATACTACATTTCGACTGCGCCTGTCCAGCAGAAGTGAAAAATCGAGCGAGAAGATTAATGCCTGATTTGGAATTTCTCCCTCGTTCAAAATAGGGACTAATAGATGACATTGAAATCTTTTGTAATCCAAATTGCTTTTGTGTTATATTTCTCATTTATGACTTCGCCTTAAAAATTGTGTGTTCACAGAAAAGTCCAAAGACTACGATTTGAAATTCCAGGCGAAAAGCTTGTCCAACAATGTCAGCATGGCCATTTTGAATGAGCCCATTAACGCCTTGACGTTCTGCATCTGGTTTCAAACAACACAGACAGGATCATTCGGGCTCGTAGGCGGTAACGTGGATCTAGTTTGTGATGAATATACGCGGTGTAATTTCTCCTTAAAAGGTGCCAAAAGGTGAGAGTATTAACTTCTAAAAATAATTACTGTATATAAAGCTTACTTTCCCTAGTGTAGAGCAGTTTTCACTAAAGCGTCAGAATTAATCCACGACTACATTTGTTTTGCCGCACAACTCTCTTTGATTGGTCCATAAAACTCGTGCCACATCTGGGACAATCAATCAACTCGCTGTATTAATATTGTTTTTTAGGTTTGAGTTTATTCGTGTCGTGATTGGTTAAGTATCTGGTGTCAATTAATCATTCAATCAATCAGCAAAGAATAGCCAATCAAAAGTAATTTTCATTTTATTCAGTTCTTATTAAGCGAGCGAGAGGTCTGTATGGGAGAATCTTGACCGAGGTCGCCAGTACAAACCGAACGCAGTGAGGTCTTAACCAGCGACCGAGGTCAAGATTCTCCCATACAGACCGACCTAGCTCGGTTAATAAGATGTTTATTATATGGCTGTGTCTTCTATGCCAGTTTTTTTATATTCTTTGTACTTTTTTTTTCTAGACCGGTCTAGATGCCGGTCTAGATGAGAAAATCTAGATCGCTTTCAATATTGATTTCAGTCAATCAAATTCATAAATTCGGTAGTTCCCAGTCCTTGTGAGACACAGCCATATAATAAACGTAATTACGATACTGTATCACCTTGGTCTTTACTTCTGCTCATGGCGAACGCTCGACGCGTCCGCCAATTCAGCGTGTTCGTAACTTTTTTTAGTATTTGTTTGGAAGCTCGTGCGGAGAAGTCTTTTATTTGCATATTGAGATCTTCGAAATTTTTACAGGGATTTTTACAGCGCTCCGTTAAACAATGGGGACTGGCACAGCATCTGCATCACCTGGCAGCAGTCAAAGCGCACCTGTGCGGCGTACATCGACGGAAAAACTAACAAACAACGTACATTTACCGACTGCAGAGGAAACACTGAGTTTGAATTCAGCGGTAAACCATTAGTGTTGGGTCAAAGTGTGAATAGTAAAGGAGAATTTCAAGAAAGCAAGTCGTTTACTGGCAGCATTCATGGAATAAACATGTGGGACTATGCCATGGAGGAGAATGAAGTGTTCAACTTGGCTACAAGTTGTTCGAGTCGCGTAGGTAATGTCGTCAGCTGGCCGCTTTTCAGAAATGTTCTGGAGGGCAACGTTACTTTGACAGAAGGGTCACTTTGCAAAGGAGCTGGTAAGTCATTAGTAACCTAGTGGTAAAAATAAAAATCACCTGAGGGGGGTGGGGATCAGAGGATTTTGGCTGTCTGACAAGGCGATTCAATTGATATCCCTTGAGGCTAAGTGGTTTTCTAATGTCCCCGCTCATTGGCAGTCAATTTTCTATAGAACTCCGTTAATCTATGTTAATATCGACTACCCCCTCCCCCCTCCGTTCTCCCCACATACCAAAATCCTCCGCTAAACATTTCATGAATGGGTAAACCAAAATGAAGAAGGTTTGCGTTGCTGAAAGCTCGGTCATTTTAACGGAACTTAGCTTGTAAGGTTGTAGTTGCTACGGAATACAAAAGGGCCGTGTGGCTATGGCGCGGGCGCGTTCAAAGGCCATCACTGAAAGAATTAATAGTCCACGGTGTTTTTGTTGCTATGAGTTCGAAATCTCTAGGGAATATTACTAGTAGAATTTGTAAGACAAGAAATCCTGGTGCTATTGGGTTGAGAAGAGACTGGATCTAGACTAGAAGCAGTTCCTCTTTTCGACGAAATCCTTAGCGCAAGTCAAGAAAAATCAGCGAAAAAAATTGATGATAGTACGCCGTGCGATACTCTAGAAGTGAGGTTTCTGAGTTCTGCACGGTGCACTGATATCGATTCTTTTTCGCTGAATTTTTTGTCTCGCGCGACGAACTTCGCTGAAAAGGAGCGAATTCTCCTAGTCTTTCATGAATCTAACTCCCGTTTTCAGACTTCACCACTTAGGGCTTTTATGCGCTTCGTATGTATGTCAAAACCACACCCATATTGAAAGCAATGGTTACATATCATGAGTTTGGACCTGGATTTGGTGGGCAAACACACGAACACAACCCCACAGAGGTTATAATCTCCTCTACCGCTGTGTTGGAAATGTCACGCAACGACACGGGGTAGAGAGCTACGTTGCGTTACATCTCAATAACAAGCTGTGTGAGTGGTTTGACTAAGCAGCACACTTACCTTTCGTTAAGTTTCGCGAAGAAACTATGTTTAGAAGAAGGGAATGAATGTTCTTCATATTCTTATATCTTTCTGTATTTTATTCACTTTCGTTTTTCCTTTAGATCTATCTTCCAAAGTCTCTCTGAGATTTCCAGCCGTGACAGCTGTTGATCGGATAAAATATTCTGGATCACTACCCTCACTCCAAGCCTTTACTCTCTGTCAGTGGACAAAAATCGTCTTCATGCAGTCAGAGTCCACTTATTTTAGTTACGCTAACAATGAATCCCCAAACGCTCTTTTTCTCTTGCTAAGGAAAGACTTGACGATCAGAATGTTTATCAACAACGTTAAGTTGTAAGTATATCTCTTAACTCATTTAATTTTCAGTCACTTGATTTACTTTCGATCGTTTAAAGAAAGTTATTGTTGTTGGACTTGACTCTTAATGAGAAGATTAGAATATATCAACAAAGTTGAAATGGTAAATTGGCCACCGTTACGATTATAAAAGCTGACGTTTCGAGCGTTAGCCCTTCGTCGGAGCGAATAGGGGAATTGTGGGTTGTGTGTGCTTTTAAAGGCAGAAAAAGGAGCTGCTGATTCCCACCAATCACGTAGCTCCTTTTACCACTTCAACTTTGTTGATATATTCAAATTGTTCTGAGTAAGCTATATCAATTTCAACCCCATACTCACTCTCAGTACGTTTCTTACCAAGATGTCTGTCAGGAGACAATATTTTTCTATGTCTGGTTTATCCGGGTCCTCTGCATCACTGCTTGTTATCAAACCACACGCAACCCCTGCAACAGGACGAGTGATTGGAATCCCTTCGAAATGAAAAATAGAAAATTTTAAGGGTTTAAAAATGCCATATGTTCATATGCAAGTATTCCCCTGTTTTCCAG